CCCCCTCTTTCTTTTTTTTTGGTTCTCGCCCCATTTTCCATGCAGGCAAAACACCGAAAATCCCGTTCCTCGCTCTTTCTTTGCTTCCAAACCCCACAGAAACGCTTGCTAGCAGGCTAATAAAAATTTAACTGTTTTTTTTTTAAGTGAAATGAGCATCTCTGTGGTCACACATTCTCGTGAAATCAACAGTTAAGTGAGACTAACTTCTTTGCTTTGTTTTGGAGCAGAAAATTGTTTTGAGCTTTTTTCTGACAATTCTGATTAAAAGAAGCAAAATATAGCCTAAAATTCAACATAATAGGCGGATATACATACAGCCCTTCATTTTTTGTGTTAGTCACTGACTTTTGTTGATTCAGCCTCAAAAATGCAACCTCAAAATCCAGCCTCAAAAATGCAGAATTCTGTTGGCAGGAGAATTATCCAAATTTCTGCAGGCAAATCTTTTACAAGTGTATTGTCAAAGTCTACTGCTGTGCAACTGGTGGCTAAATGGTTGGTGTGCTTGGTTCCAAATTATATGTCACTTTTATTTGTTCAGTACTTCTTTAATGAGCTTTTGGCTAATCTAGGTTTGCCTTTTGGCACACCTTACATGTTGACAAAACAGCATGAACCAATTAAACTTGGGTTTCCAACTAAGTTTATTATGACAACAAGCAACTAAACTGTAACTGACAAATAATTCATGTCTTGCCGTGACCTTGAATTACATGCATGAATGTAATTTACATGTAGAAACTTTGACTGTAATGCCATTTTGCTACAAGAATAACAAGAACCTTGAGGTTAATGGCCAGATAAGGCATTGTTTTAGCGTAATCAATCAAAGGTTTCAGGTGTCTTTGAAGGTTAATAATTATACCATAATGATTCAATTTAGTGCCCTCCTTCCAATAAGCCCCCCTTTTGAATAAGCACCTCCCCTTTAAATGTGTTTTTATTAATAAGCGCCCCTATTCCAGTAGGTGGTCCCATTCCAATTGAATAAGCACCCCCATTCTAATATTATATTACAACTGTCAGAGCGCGTATCAATCCTTTTGACGCAATCACCAAATTGGACATTAAACATTTGAGCATTAACTGAACATTCACCGTATATTTGTTACTGTTGCAGTTCCTGTTATTGTTCCTTTTTTAATAAAACTAATACCTTATTAAAGCTTTGTTTCAAACATTCCATTGTTTCTCAAAAAAATAATTAAGCAACCTGTCCCCGGTATGTGCCTTCTCTTGATTAAGCACCCTTTCTTGAGGTAACAAAAGAAAATAAGCACCCTGGGTGCTAAATCAAATCATTACAGTAGATTTATTACTAATTAAGAAGTTGTCAAGCTAGCATATAAGTTAAATTACTTTGATCTATCTTTTCTACATCTTTTCTGTGTTGTATGTATATGTAGAAGCTAAGTGCAGTAATGTGAAAAAACAAAATCAATCACTGTTTTGGTGTACAACTGGGTCTTTAAGAAATATACGGTGGCTAGACTAACCCGCACATGTACAGCATTTCAACACATAGCACATACACATGTACAATGTTTCAAAACAAAACTGTCAAGTCTAGGAAAAATTATCCGTACCTTGTTCGCAATGCTGGTGATAAAAGATTTGATGTCTAACTGTGTTGGACAGCTCTTCTGGCAAGGTGCATCAGCACATTTGAGACATCTGCAGTGCAGCATAGTACATAATTACAATATGGTGAACAATTATATTAAAACAAAGTCAATTAAAGTTTTATACAAGTAAAACTGACATTTTCAACAAGTGTCACTGGTCATCTGAAGAACAAGGCTTCTGCATGTACATGATGCTTATCTCTATTGCACAGGATTTGGAGGATCCCAGATGTGTACATGCAAGCTTATTATTACCCCCTACAACTTTATTCATAATCTCCTACACAAGATTTGTATTCATGGACTCTCTATCATACCCAGCTCCAGAACCAATCAGCAATGTTGTCCAACATTTCTACCAACTGTCTATTACAATGTGCAAAATTGCTCATAACAACTCGTAAGGTTTTGCAGAAAATTTCAGAATGAAAGGCAGGCTCATTTGACCTAACAATAGCCCCTGTATCAATACTTGGCTTCACACTAGAGCGTGTAAGTATAATCTAAGTGCACTTGGAACCTACTTTGAGTGTGAAGGGGTAAAATGTGCTTACTTGAACTTAAATTAGTGACCATGGAAACGTTTGTAGATTAATGATTAGACTAATCAAGCCCTCCGTCTGTTGCCTGGTTTCAATCGTACCTGTCTCAGAGAAAGCAATTTATTACATTAGGGAAAACCACATCTGAACAGCTGACTATCAGACNATCAAGACGCTTTAAACTGTCTACCTGATGATGGTGTACCATCACAACTTCCAACATTTGAAACAAAAAGGGATGATCTTTTCAACAACGACTAAGATCAAGATTCCTTAATTGAGACTGAATTACATAATGATTCAGATGTAGTCTATAACAAGGACACTGAAACAAGTAGCTTTCTTCCTATTCAACACAATGGAAAACAGGAAAAAGAGGAAATTCAAGAGGAAATAGCAGGGAAAATTATGAATTGGCCATCTATTCAAAATAAACTTTTCAATGAATATACAACACCATATTTAGCTACAATGGCATTTCCAACATTATTTCCTGATGGAAAAGGTGATCCAACTAATCCCAGTTTAAACAGATATGTTCCTTTTGCTCAAAGCATTAAACATCTTTTAAAATTTGGACAATTCTTAGATGGCAAATGGGTTTATCATTTTGCAAAACATCCACGCTTTTCCTACTGGGCGCTTAATATGATTCAAAGAAAGCGCACTTTACAACAAAGTTCTGTGTCCATCAAACAGAATCCAGATGATGCTCATCTCACCATAGAGCAATTGCATGAAATGAGATCAAATAATGATTCCACGAATTTTATGACAAAGCTATCAAGATATGTGGGCAACATTACAGGTAGTAACGCTTACTGGCATAAACGGCGAGATGAATTAAAATCAATAATAACCACCAAAGGAACCCCAACCATCTTTTTTACTTTCTCATCTGCAGACATGTATTGGCCAGAATTGCATTCATCGTTTTCTAATAAACCACATGATTGCACCAATGAGGAAAGGAGACAAAATGTAATAGACAATCCACACATTGTTGATTGGTTTTTTGATCAACGCTTACAAAGTTTCATAAAGCATTGGTTGTATGGTACTCTTGGGGCTGAATGGCACTGGTACAGATATGAATTCCAAGCTAGAGGAAGCATACATTGCCACGGCACAGCTAGATTAAAGAATGATCCTGGTCTTTGTGAGCTTACTGAGGTGGCCTTGAAAGGATTTTTAGCTGAACAAAAATTAAAACAAGACTCTTGTGAACAAGAACAGAAACATTTGCAGGATATTCAAAAAGACAAAATGGCAACAAAAACAATTTGTGACTATGTAGATTCACTGCTTTCAACATGGAATCCCAGCCCTCCTTGTCAAAATAACTGGTCAAAACCAAGTGTGCATCCATGCAAACTGCATTATTTAGACTTATCACACGATGAACAATGTCATGACTATGTAAACCTATTGAATACTGTCCAGCGCCACACACGTTGCAGTACCAATTATTGTCTGAAGCACAAACAGAATGAATCTGATCTCAAGTGTCGTTTCAATTACCCATTTGATCTCTGTGATAAAACCAGATTAGAATTTGAAAAGATCCATACCAAAGACAAATCAGTTCAATACAGAGCTAAAATTGTTACAAAAAGAAATGATACACGACTGAATAACCATCAAAGAGTTCAAATTCATGGCTGGAGAGCTAATTGTGACATTCAGGTTATCATTGATCATCATGCTTGCATAGAATATCTTGCAAAATATGCTGCAAAGGGTGAACCAAACTCATTGCAACTAAAAGATACTTTCAATACTGTTATCAAGTCATCAGGTTTTGAAAATGACACTAAGAAGGTAATAAAGAAACTTATGATAAAAAGTTTAGGAGAGCGAGATTTTAGTGCACAAGAAACTATGCACCATCTGCTTTCACTGAAATTACGCAGCCACTTTCATACATAAACAACCCGTCAGATGATATGGCAGAATGTGAAAATGACAATATGGAGCTCGAGATCAAGGAGTCTGAAGAACAACAGTCAAGAATCAAAGAATTGGAGTTATCCCTGGAGAGAGAAACTGCCCAAAGGAAAACTGCCCAAGCTGCCTTAGAAACCAAGAGATTCTCTGTGAAAAATTTGCGGCAAGTTCCACAGGTTTTTAAATTTTATACCGGTTTTACTGAAGAACAGTTTTGTTGCCTTTTGGAATTCTTGGGCAATGGAATGAACAATCTGACCTACTGGGGATCATCAAGTAATGCCAATTCCAACAATGAAGATTTGGGAGGTTCAAAACCTCGGCCATCAAGGAAATTGACTACTGAAGATGAGCTACTTCTGGTGTTGACCAGGCTGCATGTTGGAATGCTTGAACAAGATTTAGCTGTTCATTTTGAGCTCTCTCAATCGCACATGTCAAGAATTATCACCACCTGGGTTAATGCCACATTTCACCGCTTTAAAGAAGTAGAAATCTGGCCGATGCGTAAGCAGTCATTGACAAACTTACTTGAAAAGGTGAGGGAGTTTTGTCCTACATTGTACATTAAGGTGCATCACTGATGCTACCAAAATTTATATCGAACAACCTGAGGCTCAGCAGCTTACATTCTCGACGTACAAGAATCACAACACCCTGAAGTCCCTCATTGGAATCAGTGGTGATAGTGCCAGTGAAATCTGGCATACTTGGCGAGGAGTGGGCTAAGGGTGATGTGTTAATGGCAGATCGTGGGTTTGAAATACAGATGACCTTGCACCTATGAGTGTGAAGTTGAACATTCCCTCTTAAATGGGAAAGGTCAATTTGAGGAAGATGAACTTGTGGAAACTCAACGCATTGCCAAGTTTTGCATTCATGTTGAACAAGCCATCGAGCAAATCAAAAATTATCATATCTTGGACTATGTGCCAATCACATTGTGATCATCTGGCATTATTAATCAAATTTTCTTTGTTTGTGCGATGTTGACAAGCTTTCTGCCACCATTGGTGTCAGACGACAAGGAAATCAGCAACATGACCACCTGACCACCATTGTTATTATTTAAGTGTATTTTATGTTGGCATCTACCATACAAGTGGGTAGTGTTTCTCAGACTGATTGGCTTTTCAATCTTCAAAAAAATAAAATGGCTAATTATTATCTATTGGGACTTGCTATCCACAGGTCTGGTATATACTGAAACAGTAATATGTTATTGAAAAGTGCAATTTACAGAATTCCATAGTTATTTAATTACTCTACAAAAATATATTACAAGATTACAGTCTCATATGTATAGGTAGAAATATGTTGCCAAGTACAAAATTTTTTTTTAACAACTGTCCAGTGGGTCAGCCTTATTCCCAGGCATTAATACCCTTTGCTAGTGAGTTAAGTTTTCAGCAAAATATATGTCACTGTGAATCTTTCCAATCAGCTCAATAGGTGAGATCACATTCTACTAGGCACTGAGAATGACTGAGATTGAGCCTGATAATGGGTATGACACCAGATTGAAAAAATTCTGATAAGAGATTGAATTTTTCAGTAGATTTTACATTTCTTAGCTTTAATTTTATGATTTTTTACAGTAATTAAGATTTTTGCAGTAATGTGGGAATGATGTGGTTGAAATAGAAATCAGTTAGTTTTGGTAGTGAAGTTCAATGCCATGTGTCATCAAAATAGATCCTTTCAAGATGTATTCCTTGGTCACCAAGGGTCAAATCAGTCATCAGCATAAAGTCATTCCACCTCAGGCCTGAAACTCCACACTGGCCTTGAACTTCATGATGGTAATGATGTTTTCGGACAAGTTAAAGGATCTCACCATTTTTGATTAAACAGAATGATTTCTTTTTCCCAAACTGTGGCTCTCAATTGGCTTGGTATGTCTGTAAGGGAGTCACTCCCTTACCAGACTCTATACATTTAGTTTCCAGTCCTCCGTAAGAGGGGTCACTCTTAGGATTGTAAACTATCCTGTCAGGGGAAGCCCCAAGCCAACTATATTTTGGGCTAACAATCAGCCCACAGGGGAATACTTTGATTCCCTGGTGTCCATGCCTCTCCTGGTATTGTAAGTAGTAATCAGCTACAATGTCTTCATTGTCACGGCCATAATAAAGTGAACCGACTTTTAATTTTCCATGGGAATTTGTCAGTCTCTCGACAAGTTTGGAACAATCTTGTTTTCTTCTCTTAAGCCCTCCACCAAATTTTGAGGCAGTCAGTCGGCATTGTCTATACTTTAACCAATCAATGTTTTCAGACTGTTCTCTAGCTGAAGATTCTATTGCAGCAGCTTGGTGAAAGTTCACCTTTACTGTGCTGTTCAATAGGAGCTTGGCTTCTTCAGACAAATTGTTTGGAACTGAAACTTCATTAACAGAAGAATCATGTAGTGGAAGCTTGATTGGCATATCCATTCATGTGCTTAGATTAGCTCCAGTGCATAATGTAGGGCAGGGTGGTGAATAATTGAGAGGGGTTAGTGGTAAGGGGCTAGAGGGATGATGGGATGGGGTGGTCTGAACAGTTTGGGATGGTATGGGGAACTGATTACATTACCTCTCATTGGTGGGGTAGAATGGGCAGAGGAAACTGGTGGAGTGGGTGAGGGTGAGGCAGGTAACTCATTTAGTATCCTCCTGGGGTTTAAACCAATGGTAACTGATGATACAAGAGGGACAACTACCAGTTGTGTTTCCCCTGAAGTAACCATTGATATCATCCTCAGAAAGAGTGATTTTAGGCGAATTTCCTACAGCCATGTCCGATGTGTCCTATATGTTTCTTTTATATTCCCACGAAACCACCATCACCAAGCCTCGCTTTGAAGTTACCAAAGAAATCGTGACGTCATCACACATAAGGGTTATTAGAAAGTGGTCTTAGATCTAACTGTGACTTCTGATGGGATATATTAATTGGATCTCAGTTCCACCGCTCACAAACTGAGTTTTGGAGTAACAGCACAATTTTGCACTTGTTGTTTTCAATTTAACAACTTTCTACACACTCAGGTAGCCCAAGCTCAGTATGTGAGCATCACAATATCGAAGTACAGTGTAAGCATTCAACCCTAATTAAAAATACCAAGTGTAGTTAATAATTAGCCAGGAATTTCATTGTAAGAGATTATATGAGAAATACTGCTGTCACTTCAAATTGCACAAAATTAGCAATAAAATTTTCCTTTAAACTCACCTAAGTTGTCTTCTTGTCGTTTCTTATGATTTTAAAGTGTTAAAAGCTTCTTAGCAGCAGGTTAAGACCTTTTGTGAGCAGGTTGGTTTTCCTCCCCAAGAAGCAAAGCAAAGGTTGGAATCCCTCTTAGGACCAGGTTTGCTTTCAGTGGTGAAAAATCAAGTCAAATTTACGAATGCAGTTCTTCTTGTCTTCTTTTACAAGTGCAGTTTATCTTATCTTCTTGCTTTAAGTCACACTTTATTCATCAGCTTTCAGGCCTTCTTACAATATTACTGTGGCCAACTCTCCTTAGTTTTGAATTGTCACCGTACAAATGACCAGTGCCAAGGGGGTCAGGATTTCAAATTGTCGTTGGATTCTGTTGCTTATGAGGTCTGGCAGCAGGAAGTCACATCATGGAATACTGCACTTAATCGGCGATTTGCAGCCTCAAATATCAGAATGCAGAGACAAGAAAAATGGAAAAGTTAGCTAATTTATCAGCAAAGCCGTTTCTTGTGGAAATATCATGTGGCATAAATTTGATGAAATTTTTCGCCGCTGAAAACACACCCAGTCCTGAGAGAAATTCCAACCTTCGCTTCACTTCTTCGGGTGGAAAACCGACCTGCTCTCCAATACTGTAGAATCATAAGGAATGACAAGAAAACAACTTAGGTAAGATTAAAGGAAAATTTTATTGCCAATTTCCTACACTTTACAGCGACAACAGTATTTCTCATACAATCTCTTACAATGAAGTTCATGTCTAATTGTCAACTACAGTCCATAATTATATTTAATTAAGGTTGAACTCTTACACTGTATGACATTGATATACTGAGCTTGGGTTACCTGTGCTTTCTGTCTAGAAAGTGGAGTAGGTTTAGAGAATGATAAACCCAGCAGGGACGGCACAGTGGTGAGAGTGCTCGCCTCCGACCAATGTGGGCTAGGGTCGATTCCAGCCCGGTGTCATATGTGGGTTGAGTTTGTTGATGGTTCTTGCCTTGCTCCAAGGGTTTTTCTCTGGGTTCTACGGTTTTCTACCTTCCACAAAAAAAAACATCTACAAATATCAATTCGACCAGGATAGAGAACCTGCATGAAAACCAGCTAAGACTGATGTGGCTTCCTCCCTAAATATTGTGTGTGGTTTTCCGCTGGCTGAGGAATGAACGAAATGGAAAGCACTTATCTCACACATGGCTGGGAGTCTGAGTACAAGTGTGTGAGGGGTTTTCAGTCATGTGGCTTGTGCGAGGTTCAGCTTTTGTTTTGGCATCTGCCATTACCTGACATGTCCCACCCACTCACCCATGAAGTATTTCTAGAATGTATTAAGGTTACTTTAGACCTTAAAGGGCCTATTTTGTTCAAAATAATTTTTTTGCACCAAATTCAAGACTTCATGCTTTATCTGAATTTTGCAAACAAAATTATTTTAAAAACTTAAAACACAAACGAGTTATCCACAACAACGAAACTTTTTAATATAAGTCAATGAACTGCAAACTGCCATAAGCCAATTAAAATGTGTCGACCTTTGACTTGAGCAGCAACAATTTTCGCAGCAACTGATCTCATCCACAGAGTCGTATTTTGTTTTTTTAAGTTTATCCCTTACGTCTTGCAATTTCTTGCACAGAAATCTGCGCTTTTGTTGATTGTTTTGGTCTCTTAGGTGATAGACTAGGCGATTTTGCACGGTCTCCGCATTCCCACATTTTAACGGAAGCGCAAATCGCAAGGATCCGCTCACGAATGTTTCGTTGATGTGCTGCTCTAGCTTCTTCTGGCACAGAAGTTGATTGCCACGGAATTAACGACAACTTTAATCACTGATATCTGACAAAGCAGCTTCTCCAAATGCTTCTTTCCTCTACTTCGAAGAGTGTTTTCCACATTCTAGTAAAACAAACAGGCCGATGAAATACGCGTTTAGAATTTTTTAAAAACATGTATATATCCTCACTTGACTCAGTAGGCCTGTTCAAGGCTATTCTGCTATCATGATTTCTCTTTTTTCCCTTTTCCTTCTTTACCATAAATTTTATCTGCTGATTCAGTTTATAAGCTGCTGAATGTTTCACGGCAGACTTCGCTACTCCCAATGTAAGATATATTGTGGATGTAAACATTGTACATTCACTCCCAGGAAGTGTTACTGTAGCCCACCAGGAGTTCAGAGCTGCGTTTCATTGGTTGGCGGCATGGCCAGGTTGACAGCCGCTTCAGTGAGGTGCGAAAACTGTGAATTTCTTTCGAGGCCGAAAACTCAAGGTTTATTTTTGCACGAATTACCTCTATTCAAATGAATTAATAGGGTATGTAGATTTATCCGATTTTAACAAAATCTTCGTCCAATATTAGCACACCAAAGTGTGTGAGGCTTTTGCGAAAATCGAAATAATATTTAGATTATTTTTCCTGTGACATCTCATTGAGTAACAGCAGTCAGAAAATGTTCTATTGTCCAACTTTAAAAGGGATTTCCTACGCAACCAATAGAAATATCGAAAAAGCCACACACACTTTGTTAGCCCATCATCTCCTGATTAATAATGTCCAGTCAGTTTGGATGTTCACGGTAACACAAAGGCTGGTAATTCAGTTTAGCAAGTACGGTCATTTTTGCATTTAAAGGCTTGCACTTTCCTATCAAAACAAAATATATTGTTATTTTCAGAATCTACAGTTTATTAGCTTTACAATGATATATATTTTACCATGGTTTTCTTTAAAGCAGTGCATAAAAAAGGCATTTTCAGGAAGGCACCCCTAAAGGTCTACAGTAACCTTCTAAGGTTAAAGTTGAAGTGAAATTACTCTCTAACAACTTTTTTGTGTCATTGCAAGACAGCTATGTTGTTATGTTAATAAAGGTCAGGCTGCATGTTTTCTTTGCCTTTAGTGTAAAATCGGGTTGACTAGCCTACATGACTTCTACAGTTCTTGACATTTGTACATTTGCCGTTCTCTGTTCAGTCACTCAACCTTTTTGTCGCTTCACTCGTGTTTATGAAGGGCACTTCATATTGTGTTATAAGGAGGAACTTAAAGTAGAGTTGAGCCGTCATACCACAGCTGCCATTGCAATTTGAGGCTATGTATAAATTTTGTGTGGACATACGACCAGATTTTCCTGTTCCATACTTAACATTAAAAGAACATTTGCACATTCGGCAACAATCATTTGCTCGATCCACGCTTTTCTTCAAAGCTTTCTTTGGGGTTTCTGCGCCGTCCATGAAGTAGTTTGACCATCCTCCACAAAAGTCTCCACGTGCAGTGCGCTGTCATGTTTGTTTACATTTTGCTTCGCTCCTATTGGATAGTCATCTGACACATGTGAAATACCGACTTGACACCTTGCGAGGGGCGGAATTCAAAAATCAATAGCCCGCGTGCAGGCTCACTTTTCCTCGCCCCATTCTTCTCGCCAGCTTTGCCGGCTTGCGGTTGCAGCTCCGCCACCCTTGCCCGCGACATGCTACCCAAACAAGTGAGCCTGCTCCCAGGCTATATATATGACTCTACAGTACTTAAAACATAATTCAAGGAAAATTACTAAATGACGTGTACCTTGCTGCCTCCCTCAGAGCTGCCCTTTCACTCAGTGTTGTATGCTTGACATCATCAAAGTTGTTCACAAGACTTTCACAACTCTTCACCAAAAAAAAAGAAAGTAAAAGAAAATGTTTTCAATGTTGGAGCTCAAGACAATCTGAGCAGGCTTTTGTAGCGTCCATGCACCCAAGATTGATCTTCTCCCTTAAGCAAAAAAAGTAACAACTCTTTAGAAAAAAAATTATAGGAAATATTAATAATTTTTTATGCTTCTTTCACAACTTCAAAACCATATTCCCACATTTTGAGCTAATAGGAACAAAAATATTTTAAGATTGTTAGCAGCACAAAATTTAGAAAGCATTGTCCCCAATACTTCTGGGATTCAACGCTAACATAGGAATGGAAGAGATGATATCTGATTCTTAGCAACCGGATAGGTTGATTTGCATCATTTCATCTGAATATCCCTGCACTGCTATGAAGAACATAGGCATGCAAAGCGTGCAAGAGTTATTTTTTAACCGCGCGGCCATGGGCTGAGCGCGGTTCATGGTTTAGTTTTGTCGGAGACCAGACCCAAACTTCCACTTGGCCAAATTTTGAGTCATGTAACCTGTGATGTTTACTCGCCAAAAGCTGTTGAAATATTAATACAAGGACAATGTTGTGGATATTGTTTTCTTTATTTTGTACGAACTATATTTTCTTTTGGTTTTATTGAAGCGTTGCATTCAAAGGGAATCATAAATAAGCTAAAAAAAGGTATTACGTCAGCCATGGAATGTGTTGACGTTGCAGCTTTCACTTTCGCTACATGATGAATAAGATCGTGTTTACTTTGCAAGTTTATTTCGCAAGAAGCGACAGTCATCAATTTATTTGCAATTTTGCATGTATTTCTTATAGTTTTAGGCAAATGAAGTAAATTCTTTGGCTGTTTCATCACAGCGAGTTCATAGATCGGAAGGAAAATTAAATATTTGCAAGCCAAGCAAAGAACATGTCAGAACATGCAAGGACTACATCATTGGTAGGAAAAAAAAAAACACGATACTAAAGATAGCCGTGGAGAACGCAATTCTTGAATTATGTGACTCGTGTGACTTCTTTGCTAGCCCTTTACTCAAGGGAAAATATAATTAAATTTAATCGTGACTTTCAAGAAAGAAAGCTGTTGTTAATAGTGTTCGACTTCGTAACTTCATACCCATACATATCCTGAAGAAAGTTCCAGACTAAGACTATTTCCTGGTCGACACTTTCGCGGGAAAAAAATCAAACACCCAGCGCTCGTCAAAAATATGTTTTTCCACTAGAAATTCAGCTTGGAACATGTATAAATTTATATTCGTTTGAATCATCGATAAAATGACCTTTTCTGGATATTTTTTTCTTCAGGGTCAACAAAAATCTCAGATTACAAAGTCACGCCAAACCCATGCTTCGCAAAAAAATCTCTTCAAAACCCTGACTTCAAAGCAATATATCACTTTAGCGTTAATAGCTACCTCATATCGGCAGTGGTAAAATCTATTCCTTAACAATCCAGCTTCATCATATTAAAATTTCAATGAAATCTAACAAAACCAGAACTGAATATAATTAGATTTTTTTGTCACCTCGCTTCATTGCTTGAGTCAACAAAGCAAGCGACAGTCGTCTATAGCGACGGAAACACATGAACATAACACGAACCGACGTTTCGGTCAAAAAAATCCAAGATTATTGCCTGAGAGCTGAAAATTGAATAGGAAAATATTTTTCGAACTTTTCTAAGCTTATTTAGACAAAAAAATGACCTCAGCAGGCTCCAAAAGAGAACGAAACAAAAAACAGAACGAGATAGTACAAAGAGCCAATAATTTATTCAATTTGTTCACCGCGTGGCCTTCGTTATATTCAAGTTACAAAAAGCTTACTTCTGGATAATTTCAGCCTTACAAATCAGCAACTGGTCCCAAATTACTTTCTGTAGCATTACAAATGTCCTGACTTCCATCTCTGAAAGATTTGGCCGCAATTTTTAAGCAAATTAACATTTCACAGATGACAACCACCATTACGGTGGCTTGCATAGTAATTCGCTAACTTTACAAAACTCTCCTGAGGGGAAATATGACGAAAATAGCTGAAAAATGGCTGGAAATAATTTTCTCAGCTTCCAGTGTGCCACATTTGCCAGAAGTAGGTTCAAAACTGATTTTTTTTTTTTCGTTTTGTTTTTTCTTCGGGTCACTCATGATCCCATATCATGACCTGTGCCGGAAGTAATTACGTCATCAGAGATTTCACAACGGCTACGACTGATGGTACAATAATACAGGTTGTGTTGATCAAGTGATGTGGTGTCTACAGAGATCAATGAATCATCAAGGACTGCTTTGGAATGTGCATTGCATTGTGACTGTAGTGCTACCAAAATAGTTAACTTTTAAAAGCGCGGTTGTAAGATCTAAACAATCTTCTTGGTTTTTTTTTGTGAAGTCTCAGAGATAGGAGCATTCATGGAGCTGTTTACAATAATGATTTGGTCAATTTGACAAGTTTTTTTGGTTGCGACGTACAGCAAGAAAGAAACTGGGAATTTATGATGTACATACGATGTTACATCGGTTATGGTAAGATAGCTAAATAGTAAGCCATAAAATGTTTGACTGAACAAACTACAGTGATCTGACATGTCTCCAGATTAATGTAGATACCATCTCNCAGACATTATTTTACTGGGGACGGAAAGGTGAGTTGTATACTAGCTACCATATCCAATTGATTTCCTAATATAAAGATTTAAAAACAAAAGTTGTGTCGCAGTTTTCTTTAGTTATCGGACAAAACGCGAGTCACCAGCTGGCAACCAGTTCTGAAAATTTAGTCGCCAGTGCTCAATTTTTGGTCGCATTGGCGACCAGTGAGTCGCAATTTCGAGCCCTGTAACATACCACATGGGGACAATTATCCCATCTTCTTGAATATACCCAACTAAAAAGTGCAAGTTAGAGTACATTTGGAAAACAAGCGTAGCCTCAGTAGAATTATTTAACAACAAGTACGACTTGTTGACAGGGCAAGGCTGAAACCCAGCCCCGTTCCATATCAGAAAAATCAAAGGGACTACGCCAGTGAAGGCCAGATACTACGACAGCTATGGTGGTGTGAAAAAGTTGCTTAAACTTGAATTCATTTCTCTGCATTTTTTTTATCTTGATTGCTTTGTCAAACGCTTGTGTTACTCTCCTAAATTTTAAGTAATGCAGTAACCCCTCCCACAGGCACAGAAATGTAAAAATCAAAAACAGCAAAAACATCAGTGCAATGCATGGGCAAATTCAAGACTTGCTCGTCTTTTATCAGTTTTATTCCAGCACCTTGTTATCCTTTATCATCCTTATCCTCTTTCCTGTCAACTGTATTTTGTGTATTTGGCAGTATTTCACTTGGGTGTCTTGCTTGACAACGACTGAATTTGGGGCACATTATCTGAACATAAAGCCTTCAGAAATGTTTAAGGTTGACCAAAAAAGGATGAAATGCGCATAACTTATACATCTGACACTGGCAGTCTAAGCTTTTGACTTATATTATACAACAGTCGACCAATATACCACCGACAGTCGACTGATTTTCTGCCAACAATCAATGGTCAAAGTATCGGCCGAGTGTCGGGCGCTATATCGACCGAGATATCTGACGATAGTCGGTCAATATGTCAACTGACACTCGGCTGATATCTCGGACGATATATCAGCCAAGTGACGGTCGATATGTCGACCAACATACCGGTCAAATGTCAGTCGATATGTCGACCGATACATCAGTCAAGTGTCGGTCGATATGTCGACCAATACATTGGTCGAGGGGTGCACAAATTTCACATGATCCAACTTTCCTAGGTAAGTTATAACATTAGTACGACCTTTGTTTCCATTCAAAACTTTCCTTGGTAAGTTATAACATTAGCATGATCTTTGCTTCTATTCAAAACTTTCCTTGGTACATTAGAAAGACCCTTGTTTTCATTCAAAACTTTCCTTGGCAAGTTATAACATTACTAGGAAATTTGTTCCTATTTAAAACTTTCTATTGCTGGAAACAATGGAAATAACACTTTAGTTTTGTTTAGATTTTTTGGCAAATGCAAAAAGTAGTTAGTACATTTTGAAGAAGTACTAAAAGAAAAAATTGAAATAAACAATTCCTTCTCTGTGCTTGGTATTGAACCGTAGAACCGTAGCACCATAGAACCATAGAACCATAGTAGTTTACCGCACAATAAAAAGTGAGTCGTCCACATTTGGAGTCAGAGGAAGAGTTCAGTGCACATATTACTGATGGTTCTAAAAAAGTTCGTCTATTTCTGGTTAAATTTCACACTAAAGAGGGAGCAGGAAATAGTAGTTGAAAGTATGTTTATGAATGAAGACATACTTGTCGTGTTACCAACTGCATATGGGAAGAGTTAAATATTACAAACATACGTGATTGCAAGTGGGCAACAAAAAAACACAAAGGCGTTTGTCCATTTACCAACGTCGTCAAAGACCAGATTGCCAAAGCAAGATCACTTGGAATCAAGTGTGTGTCCTTATTGGACATAAACTTTGACAGTTCTTCTTTGGCAAAGCTTTATCAACAACGGTTATTGCACCTACATGTTATTGTGAAAAAGATTAAAATTTTCCGAGAAATCTGAGCCACCAAAGTTCATACTTCTGGTAAAAATTAATTGACATATTCTTTTCTGTGGTTTCCAGGGTGGAAATAAAAAATTTGCAGAGATCAGAACAGGCTCACTTTCTCGTATCGCGTATCGCGGCTCTGCCGCTCGATTTTGTGCTCGCGGCTATACCGCGCACGCTGGTGTTCCAGTGTGAACCTGCTCGCAGGCTAGGAGAGCCAAAGAGATGTAGAGTTCATTATCTAGAAACATGTGATGGTAGAACCATACAGTTCATTGTATAGAGATGTGTGATCGTAGAGCCGTAGAGTTCATTATGTAGATTGGAAATGATCATTAATAAACAAGTTCAGGTGTAGAGTTGAATAAAACGTCTATAACAGACTAAAACCCGCTGGTAACCATGGTAGCATGCCACAG